GTTAGGGCGTTGGCTTCGGGTAAAGGCCTTCTCTACTATCCGGGTTCAAGTCACGCCGAACGCCTCGAGTTTTTTCGCAATTTGGCCAATTCAAGTTAAGCACATCGGCCAAACCTCCTAATAATATAGTAGTTCATTTAAACCATTTGTGAAAAAACTTGGCGAGCTCGGTGAGATGGCTTTGGTACAGCCAACGCTCTAGGCATCAGATCTACGAGGCCCCACTGGGAACCATGAGTTGCATTTCACTTGGGCGTTGGTTGTACCAAAACTTTCCCCTTGCTAAAGGCGGTTCGAATCTCATCGAAGTAACTGCCAAACTTCCTACCAAGACAGTATTGTTCGCACTTCCCCTGTTGACTTAACAGAGGCCATGGACACTATGAACCGCAACGAACTAATGAGAATCATGCTGACATGCTGGCATTCGCATTATGGCCTGAAGGCGAGTGTAATGTATAAGTGGCCATTCACAGAAGCATTTGGGTTTGGAAACGGCATGAACCAGGACTGTGTATTCCCGCTGTTTGTACCCGCTTCTGTCTCCTGTTCCCTGCATTGTCGATTGGACACTCCAGCGCGTTGCGGCCTAGCATCCACATTAACTCTGAACTGTTTGTCAACTAACCACTATCTGGTTCATGCTGGTAACTATGGGAGTTTCTAAGAGCAACGTTTGCGACGTTTTATTTGTGGAGGGCTGCGCGCTGAACATCACTCTGGGAACGGATATGCACTAGAATGGAGACCTCGTTGTCCCCTGCCGTTCGAACTTCAAAATGAATGTTAGCACAGAGAAGAAAAGTTCACATACCAGCCAACATCAACGGATATATGCAGCGAACTTATGATAGACGTCAAAAGAACTTGCATTACAATCGTAAATAATTCTAGTTATTGGCACCGTATCGGTAGTCGACAGCGAGAATTACTTTCTGACTGCTTTGCTCAAGGCCCGTTGTCTCAAGGTCATCCACCGTCACAGTGAGTGTTTCCAGACTCTCTGATCTGCATCCACTTGTCCAACGTCCACTCGGGGACGCACACGTCCGTCCAGATAAGCACAATTGCCCAAACGCCACTTGAAGACACCACACCTCAGTCAGTGCAGCATGAGACAATAGACGCACCAACTGGACAACACTTAAGCTTGCTCTATAAACCTGGTAAAACAAGTGCCACCATTGTCTTAATCTTTCCTTCTCTCAGGCATGACTGGCGAAGATGAACATGCACCCTACTGTCCTCCTGAAATTTTCGGAGAATCGCAGCAAGAGTAATTTATGCACTTTTACTTCGGTGGACTCCAAAGAATCTGCAAGTAGAAGCGGAAGAGGGGAATCGTAACACTGTTCCTACAAAGACCGGTCTGCCCATGATCCGATCGAATTGCTACGAATCAACCACGTTGGGCAAATAGCTACTGAGCGAATCCCCAAGTAACTATCTTAGGACAACGTCATCACGAATACTGATAGCTATGCCGGAGAAAAGCGATAATACGCAGACGCCGTAAAAACCTCTACCAACCAAGTGTAAATCAAATCGGATAACCTGGAAAAGTCCAAAACAGGCTCAGCA